CAACACACAGCAACAAAACTGATGTGCCATGTCATCGTCATCGTCATCGTCTATTGTCACTCAAAAGCGAAGAAATATTATTTATTTATTTATGAGAAAATCGTTGCTTTGGTTAATGTTTGTGTTTGTATTTTGCTTGTGTATTTGGTTAATGTTTAAAGACAGGTGAAAAATCAAGAAACAACTACAAATTGAAAATAATAACAAACATAATAATAATAACAATAACAAACTGAAAATGTTACCTTCTGGGTCTTTAGATATGACTGTGGTACTGCGATCAACGATCCCTTTTTTATCTTCTAAAAAAAAACGAAATGAAACATTTTCATAATTGATAGTTGCAAATCTGTTGTTTTCCAATACTTTTGAATATTTGCTCCAGTTTATAGATTCACGATAGCTTTTCACATAAAGAATCTTTTTTTTTTTTTTTAATTTTAATAGTTGAAATAAATTAAGGAAAAGGCTTTTTACAACACATAAGAACTTGACTAAATGTAATTAGAGCAATAGAAAAAAATATATGCAATGACGATTCAGTTGGGTGCAACCGGCTAATATTCGCTATGACTTATATATCTTCTAGCTCACAATTCCTAACTTCTAGATTCCATTAATTTCTGCTTTATATTCTCTTCTTATAGCTTTAAAGTTTCTTGTTCGTCCTCGCGACCTTCTCTTCTTTCTTCAGATCCTCCTTCGCCATTTTACCTCTCATCTAGTACCTACCCACCTGCTTTTCTGCTTATATTTCTTGTCATATTTTGCTCTCTCTACAAAGTAAAACATTTGTTGTTTAGAAATAGTAAATTTGATGTATCAGGTTATCGGACAGAGCTTCATATAAACTGGAACGATTAATACAACAAGTGCTGTAGTTCCTCAACAAGGCTGGATCCAGTTTATAATGAATAGAGAGCTTCGTCAGGTGAAGTTACTGATAGTGTTTGAATACAGTCGGGATGTATTGTTATGTTGAGCGATATTGAAGGGTATCCTAAAGCTATATGAGACAAAGATATACTCTCTAAAAATTGAGTTAAATGTGCAAACATATAAAAAATATGTTTCATTGAAAAGGTAATACTTAAGCATTCCATCAAAAAATAAGTGAACAGAAAGAATTAGATACAGGCAAATCAAGTAGAATCATCACATTACGACAGCTATATTACCATATGAACAGAAAATATGCGTGCGAACTAAATTAAAGGAAAAAAGGCTTATCTGAGTAAATTTATATATAGAGACAAGTAGATGGGCATTTTATGAATCATACATAAAAAGTACATCTTGGTTGTCTAGATCACTAGTTCGTACGACCCAGAAACACCTAAACACATATAGAAACCTCACTTCACTCATATAAGAACTGAAATTCGAGCTCGAATTTCCAAAGTTGGAGGAGTACAAATAGAACTACCAGCTTAATTACTGTATAGATATTTACCTTTGACATCATCATCCTCCAAAGTTGTGCTCGACGAATCCGTTGATTCCTTCACTTGAGAGCCGTCGCCCTTTTTAGTGATCATGCTTCTGCCTATAAAGATCGGTAACATTTAATAAATTACAACAAAAATCGAAATTATATCAAATACATATAAGTCTACATTTAAAAATTGCAAGCTCTAGCTCTAAAGGTGATCGATAATAAAATATCGGGAGTAGTTATCGATATAAAAAGAAAAACTTGATATGCGCGTGATATACACGGACCTAGTTTCAAGTCTCTAGCTCTTATATCTTCTGATATCGACACGTTCACACATACGGACGGATGGACAGACAGACGGACAGGGCCAAATCGACTCAGCTCGACGCCCTGATCAAGAATATATATACTTTGTGGGGTCTGCCACGCCTCTTTCTGCCCGTTACATACATTTCAACAAAACCATTATACCCTGATTTCCCATTGAAAATGGGTTCAGGGTATACAAAATATAATTGTAAGTGAACAAGTTTTAAGCCGGATAACTTCTCCTACACATACTACATATGTATATATATCTATTTTTATGGATCACCATATATCTGCTTACTAGAGAAGTTCCTGGTTGCAAGCATTGTTGTTAGTATAGCGCCCTTTAGCTTGCGCCGAGCATTGAATTTTTTGAGACAATCCACAGTTTCCTGGCGATGCACCACAGAAGCCACACGTTCTCTTTGCTATAAATGGAGAGAAAGATTGAAATTGATGCTCACAAAACAGACCACAAAGCTTTGGCACTGGAAATACGTACACAAATCCATGGGTGCTTTAGAGCTTCAGCTGCTGTTATTCGCTTATTTGGGTTTACAGTCAGCATCTGGTTAATCAAATTCTTAGCCTCGGGCGTCACAGTGTCCCATTCGGGTGATGGATACTACAATATAGTGTGTAAGGGATCGACATTAAATTCAAGTGCAGTCAGCATCACTATAAATAAACCCTGTCCGCTTATGTGTCTGTGTGTCTTTCCGTCTGTATGAACGTATCTGAGCGTTTCTGTTTACAGTTAACGATCCGGATTCAGAGCGTCCCAATTCCAAACGATTAGTCTGCGAGGTCTGTCCATTGTTATGAAATTAAATATGAATAAAATATGCATCCTTACATCGTAAGCGCCTGCCTTTATTTGCGAATACAATCGATGCTGATCCTCGTCCCAAAAAGGGGGATAGCCGACCAATAATATGTAGAGTATGACGCCTATGTGGATGAAACAAATAGTCAATAAGCACTATTGAAAATTAGGTAACTGAACGAATGTCAAAGAAGCTTACCGCATGCCCATATATCTACCGATTTGCCATAAGGCTCTTTCTTCAATACCTCTGGCGACAAATACCCTGGAGTGCCAGCAAATCCAAACCAGGCTTGATGATCACCCTGCACTTCAATGGCTAGACCAAAGTCCGCGAGTTTCACAGCTGCACCCTTTGCCTTACTTGCTAATAGTAAATTCTCTGGCTTGAGATCTCGATGGACAACACCGTTCTGATGGCAGTGATTGACCGATTCCAATATTTGCTGTATACAATGCGATGCATCAGCCTCTGAATAAAATTCACGTGCCACAATATCTTCGAAAAGTTCACCACCAGTTACACTGTAAATATATATGTATTTAGTATAATCAAATTCTCGTTTTTCTCTTTTTTTTCTTTTCGTTTCGAAATCAGTTTAGAATTGTGGTTTGTTTCCTTCAGCTGATAGCTTGTATCCTTGCATCAGCTGATAGCTTTACTGAATATGCTTGACTAACTAACTAATTATAATCAGCTAATTTAATGCTATTTGAGTCAGACAAACGTCGTGTGTTTTATCTCCTCATTTGGGCAATTAGGTTATAGTTTACATAAAACTACGTTATGTTCTGCTCTGTTATTCTATATATTCTTTGCTTTGCTTTATCTATTTTGTTTCTTGCCTTAGCCTTAGCCTTTTTTTCATTAATCTGTTGCCCAAACCCGTTCCTTTTTTGCAATGTTAAGATGTTATTACTTCCTGTCCTCCCTCTTCTTAACTTCTTTTTGTCATTGCCTCTTCCCTACTCTCTTGTTTCACTATGCGGTTCTTCCTTTTCTTTTTAAGCGTCTTTCGTTTTCCCTTTTTTTTTTCTTATATCGTGTCTTCTTTACGATTTGCTGTATATATTAGCTGTACTGGCATCTGACTTGAACTTGAATGTTTTTATTCGATAAAAATATAACGGGATGGATGTTTTATCGAATTTTAAAAGCAAAATCGACATCCGCGCTGCATATACGGTCATTAAAAAAATTCGTAAAAAAAAAAATTTAAGTCTCTAGCTCTTATATCTTCTGAAATCGACGCGTTCAAACATACGGACAGACGGACGGATGGACAGACGGAGATGGCTAAATCGTCGCGCTGATCAAGAATATATATACTTTGTGGGGTCTGCCACGCCTCCTTCTGCCCGTTACATACATTTCAAGAAAACCATTATACCCTGATTTCCCATTGAAAATGGGTTCAGGGTATAAACAGGTAAGAAGGCTCCAGCCGAGACTGCTCGACTAGGAGATACCCTGAACCCTGCTTGTAGGGTTCAGGGTATCTCCTAGTCGAGCAGTCTCGGCTGGAGCCTTCTCCAAGCAGGGTTCAGGGTATAAAAAGGAAACGTCAAAAAATTGCATAGCAACGACAACGTCGGACGTCAAAATGAAGAAGTGACAGCACCTAGCGTTTTGGAGGCATTTGAAGGAAATAATTTAAAAAAAAATAAGGGTTTGTTTTAATTAAAAAATTAAATTGTGTTATTTTAAACCTATTACGGACACGGCAACCGTAAGAAAAATCATTTTTAAATAATTGTTTTGCTCTTTCTGGTTAAGCGTCCTCCGGGTATAGCGACGTAAAATCGTCGGTCCCTTGAGCGTCGCTATAACTGGATTCCACTGTATATAAATATATACAGATAGATTTCACATTTCTCGCAGAATACATTAATGTGGTTGTCTATTTATATGTATACTTACAGATCAAAAACAAGGTAATGGTAATTTTCCTCCTGTATGCTGTCATGCAATCGAACTGTAAGGTACACGGTCAATAATATATTTATTATTATTTCAGAACACCTTTAATATAATTCGAGTGTATTTAATCTATGGACAACATGTACATGTAACAAGTAAGAAAGCTCTAGTCGAGACTGCTTAACTACGAGATCCCCTGAACCCTTCGAGCAATAATTATTCGCACATGCACACACACACGCACACACACAGGCATACGAACGCACGCATAAACACGCATTGGCTACAGTGTGGGCTTACTTTGAAAATTTAAGTCTCAGCACGTCGCCCTGATCAAGAATATATGTATATACTTTGTGGGATCTGCCACGCCTGCTTCTGCCTGTTACATACATTTCAACAAAACCAATTTACCCTGATTTCCCATTTTCAATGGGTTCAGGGTACAAAAATAAATTATATTCTTATACTATATGGTATACAAGAAAATAAACATACAGATTTAAAATTTCATATCCGTAGATTGTAGCTTCTAGTTGATTGCGTTCATACGGACGTATAGATGTACGTGACTAAATTCATTCAGCTCGTCAGCTTACAACGAATACATTTACAGGGCCTATTAAAACTCCTTTGAATACTTATATTTTCGTAAAACCGTCAGAGTTTAAGTTTCAATTGTAATCCGAGGTTATATATATATATATACAT